GGAGGATACTGATGTTTGGTAGGTCAAAGATGGGGTGTTGATGAGTGTGTGACTGTCATGGGAGTGGTAACAGGAGAAGATTGGTCAGGAGATGTAGGTGAGGGGATACTGCAGTGGGAATGTTGGGAAGGGTGTGTGTGGTGGCTTGAGAGAAAACGGAAGTGGGTACCAAAGGGAGTGGTACTATTAGGAGGTGTTGCTTTGTTAGAGTGGGTGTGGCCTTATTGGAGGAAGTGTGTCACGGTGGAGGTGGGTTTCAAGGTCGCATATTTGCTCCAGCTATGCTCAGTATCTTAGTGCACTTCCTGTTGCCTGCCAATCAAGAGGAAGGGTTCTCAGGTTCAGTGCCATGACTGCCTGCATGCCACCATGTTCCACCATGATGACAATGGACTAAACCTTATCTGTAAGTTTCCACCTCAATTAAATATTTTCCTTTATAAGAGTTGTTATGGTCATGGTGTCTCTTCACAGCAATAGAAAACCTAAGATAGAACCCTTCCCCATATCACTGATGTGTGAAAGCCCCTTCTGTGAGATGGGCTTTCATATCAGCCTGGGTCTGAAGCTGTAGGAACTGGTATCACAGGGAAGGGTGTCCATTTCCTCTGGGGGGTCCTAGTTATAGTCCTCTGGTCCACCTGCTGGAGAGTGGAGGGGGCCCTCCATGTTCTCCCCCATTCCTAGCTTGTGGACTTATTAACGAAATGTGTAATAGTCTTGGGTTAACTCTCTGATTGTGGGGACTTATTTGCAGGTGGGTTTATTGCTAGTACTTTGTGTGGTTCTTTGTAGGGAGACAGAGTTAGGGTTTGGGCTTTTCTGCTGCAGGCTGTGTGGCCAGATGGCAGAGGTGGAGTGTCAAAGAGTAGATCATGATGTGATGCCTGACAGTTACAGTAGGGATGCTTATCCTTAAGCACATGTTGACTTCCAAAGCCCCGTACTCTGGAGTATGGCTCGACATGGAAAGAAGGTCTTTGCAAATGTCACCCATTGCAAAGAGGTTTTACTGGAGTATGGAGGGCCTCAGCCCAATAAGATTAGTATCTCTTTTAAAATGGCAATCTGGAATAAAGCAGGCAGCCAGGAGACATTGGCAATTCCTCAGTGACTGTAGGCTGTGGAGCAGCTGCCTGAGAAGGACATTGCCAAGTTTCAGCAGTACCACAACTGAGATCCATTTCTTGCAAAGAATAAGTTATTAGGAAACACTAAAATGTATCCAAGAGCACTAGTAAGAGGCATGTGATTATAAACAACCTTTTTTTTTGTTTTGTTTTTTCGAGACAGGGTTTCCTTGTGTAGCTTTGGAGGCTGTCCTGGAACTAGCTCTTGTAGACCAGGTTGGTCTCGAACTCACAGAGATCCACCTGCCTCTGCCTCTCGAGTGCTGGGATTAAAGGCGTGCACCGCCCAGCTTTATAAACAACTTTTAAAGTAAGTGTTTTATGTGTACACAAAGCCTCAGTGTTCAGCAAATGAAAAATAAGGTGCCTGATGAAGATAAAGAAATGGGAAGGGTCCACCGAATGCACAAAAATCTGAAAAAGGGAGATAACACCGTCTGTCCCCCAGAGGGAGATGCTCACTGCTCATTCAGGAATGCAGCAGGGTATGGTGGCTTTTGACACTGATATCCAAACAAGTTAAAGACAGTACGTCCTTGTCCTTAGGTTGGAGCAGGCAGACTTATCAGAGGACATTATATGTGGCATGGCTGTGAGCAGGGCAAAGGCCTCAGAGTGAGTCAGAATGGGCAGGGTTGGAGAGAGGGAGAGCACCGCTTGATGCCAAGATTCCACCACAGCAACCCACGTCTGAAGTGGAATTAGTGACTGGTGATTGAAATAGCAGGGCTTAAATGGACAATACCAGAAATAGTGGTAAAATTAGCCCGGGACCTGCATAACTAATTAGAGATTGTTACTATTATGAGGGGAGAGCCAGCGGAAAACTCAGGGAGTCAACACCAGTTTACTTGATCCAACTTTTGGGAGAGAAATCCTAGGTCCCCGGAGCTGGAAGCATTCCCCTACATCTTTGTAAAATACTTCGAAGTAGAACTGTCTTTCCTATCACCTCAAGTTGTAAACTAAGAGGCACAGTAAAAATTTATCCAGTTTTGAAAAAAATGGAAAGGGGGGAGTTTGGGCTACGAACACAGGAAGAACATCTCACGAGGACTGCTGAGACAGTGCCTGCTGCCAAAGACAAGGGGAGTGCCAGCTTGGAGTCAGGCCTGAGGCCTAGGACAGATCCTCCACGGTGCAGGCAGAGGGCCCCAGCCCCACCCACCTCACACCTGCGCTTCTGGCCTCCATGTCTGTGAACCCATGAGTGTCCCCCTTCTAGTTCTTTTGTCTTTTTCCTGTGCTAGGTCCAAACCCAGGGCCCCATGAATGCCCGGCAAGCCTCCCGCCTACCCAAGCATACCATAACTGAAGACGGTAAACTCTAGGCCACTGGACAGACCCATGCTTAGTTATGTAGATGTGACATAGCACCCACCTGCCCTGGAGAACCCTGTGGAGCCTCCAGGAGTGTAAGTGTGGAAGGCCCCGGGGTATGAGCAAGCCCAAATCACCCAACTGAAGTAAGACTGACTTTTGATGGCCATTGTCTTGTCCACCCACAATCCACTGTTTATATGTCCTTCCATTATTATCTATTCAAGCCATTGGGGTAGTCCGAGAGCACCTTGCCCCGACTGGGGACTAAGAGGCGGCTCACAATCCCAGGGTGGCAATTTTGGCTGAGCACACTCTGCCAAGGGTGGAATCCGTGTTGAGGCTTTGCTGAATACTCACTAGGGACGGTGTAGATGTCAGCGTCTTTGGAAGTCCCTGCCCCATGAGGGTAGGGCAAGCGGGCAGGGAGTCAGGGGGTGATGGATCTGATGGGCATGGATAGGATCCCCTTAGTGTCAGGTGGAGGCCCAGGGTACTAGACGCCTGGGGTAAGGCCTGGTGGGGCACAGACACTGGGGATCTGGCAGCAGCAGGGAGGTTCAAAACCTTTATTGGGACATTGGTGTGTGACACGGGGCTTTCAGGTCTGATCTGATATAGGAAATAATGGGCAGAGAAGGACAGCATCCTGGGCAGGACTGTGCAGGCCTGCAGATAGCCTTCAGAAGGGAATGTGGGGCCCATGAAGAGGAGAGGGAAGTGGAGGGGGGAGACTGCGGGAGACGGAGTGGGAGGACTCTGGGGTCCTCCAGTGCTTGTGGGCAAGGTGCGGGTGCGACAGAGAGGCGGGAGGGGACGCCAAGGGAGCTGAGGGTAGCAAGGGGCCTTGGGTCCAGAGTCTTCCTGTTCTGGGTCTTGGGAGAAGGGCTTTCACTCTGCAGAAGACTCAAGTGTTCAGTCCAGCAGGGACTGCAGGGCCGGGGTCCAGTTAGCACCACAGAGGGGAGATGGACGCGGGATGATGGGTGGGCATGGCGGGCACGCGCTAACAGATCCAGCGGATGAACCTGTCGAAGAAGCTGGGCTGGGCCAGACTGTCGAAGTCTTTCTCCCGGAAGATGGCCGCCCTGTCACCCAGGCTGATCTTGGTGAGCACATCCATGTCCACGTCGCTGCCCACCGCGACCACGGTGGGCACCACGTTCTGCTTGCGCATGGAGTGCACCGACTCCTCCAGGCTGTCATTGCCCGTGACACCATCCGTGAGGAAGACAAAGGAGAGCTCTGCGTGACGCCGCGCCCCACCCCGTGCGCCCCGCACCACGTTGTTGATGGCATGCACGATGCCTGCACCCACGTGAGAAAAGGAATTGAGGTAGGTGGTCCTTTCCAGTGCCTCATGGATGGTGGTCAAGTTGTAGGTCAGTGGGAAGACCACTTCCTGCTGATTCTGGCTGCCGAACTGCAACAGGGCCATGCGGGCGTTGAGGGCATCGTCATCCTTTCGCGCCAGAGTCAGGCGCCGAGACACCTCCTCCACGAAGCGCCGTGCCTTGTGGAAGTTCTGCTCACCCAACCGCTCCGAGCCATCCAGCAGGAAGACAATGTCCACAGGCCGCTGTGTGCACTGGGCCACATATAGCTCTGCGGGGAAGATGTAAGGTGGGCCCCGGGCGGGCAAGGGGGTGGCCAGCCCGAGAGTCACCCCATCTCTGCATACACCCTGCACCCTGGATCCTAGATCATGGGACTTTGGGGCTTCACCCATAGCCGCCAATGGAGGCCTCAGCAGAGTAGTCCCAGGTGATTGACTCTGGATCCTTTGGGAGTAGTCTACTGTTCCCTGGGACTTCCTCTTAAATGGCCCCAAACTAGAGGACTAGAGATCTGAGTAGAGGCCAGAAGACCCATGTTTTGTCACCAAGCATGGTCTCAGCCTCAACCAGCCACCTCTGGGGCTCTCACTAGCCCCCGAACCCAAACTCAGTCCAAGACGTAGTTATTCACATAAAGTCATTCTGTGGTGGGAGGCAGGACAGAGCCTTTGGGCCTGACTCCCTCTCCCAGGGGCCACTTCTGAGTCACCTAGTCTGTCTGAGCCACTTATCACCCAGAAAGAGGAAGGGCTCATGTGTCCGGGGTCTCATTGTGGCTTTGGTATGCTGCTAGGGTATGGCTGTAGGAGTCCAGGTGGGCCCTTGGTGACCACGCTGCCACCAAGAGATGCCTTCCTCTGGTGGATGGTCATTGACCCTTACTCATGGAACTATGGAAGCTGAGGCCACGCTCCACACTACCACACAGGTGCCAGAGACCACAGGCAAGGGCCTGATTACCTATTCACCAGACATCTATCTAGGCTCTCCTGAGATGAAGATGAGTTCATGCTTGTTGCCATGGTCCAGTCATTTGGGACCCCAAGGAATCACATTAAGAACAGCCAGACTCCAGTGGTATATGACCAAGGGTGCTGAGGCAGGAGGATCCAGCTGCCAGAGTGCTTGACCCCGCTTCCCTCCCCCCCAGTGGTGTGTGAGGCTCCATCCCTGTGTGTACTAGCCCAACTTGGCATTTGATCACAACAATGCATTAAGTTACAGGTTTCATCTTTTTTTTTTATACCATGTTTAGCATGACTCACTCGAGGCTGAGCCGTGAATGAGGGAGTGCCTGCAGACAGGCAGGGTGCTTCTTACAGAGCTTACTAGTCACATACCTTATTCTGCCATCCCTGGAATCTGCTCAGAATGTCTAGAAAGTTTTTTTTTGGGGGGGGCGACACAACTGGACTTCCTAGCTCCTTGTAACAGACAGGCACCCCCACAGTTATTACCTCAAACTCAGAGGTAGACATACAGTAGGGGCTGCTGAATTGGGCCCATTCCCTTAATACTAACATCTACAGGGCCTGGGGGAGATCAAAAAAGGCTGGTGAAGGTCCATTTGTAATCGGGAGTTTGGGGACTCAGGAGTCCTCTGTGTTCCATTTCTGTGGGGTTCCTTCTTCTCCCTGTGACCTCTCAGCAGGGAGAGGGTGTCACCTTCCCAGGTGGATAGGTCTTACCCTGGGCTAGAGGGGAACAGATAGGGACAAGGACATCAGTCCAGCCTAATGAGGTCCCTTGAGCTCAGTCAGAATACTCCAGGTTCATGAGCTTGCGAGTGACTTTGCAGAGGGCCCCTTGCCACTCCCCACACTGGGAGAGGGTGCCTTTATGGTTCTTAGCCACTTGACTGAGGGTATCAAAAGCCCTTCCTGTCAGATACTCCCATGATGTCTGCATGTATCCAGAGACCTGTCTGGGAACACACTGACAGTCAGCTCTGGGACTTTGATCTACTGAGCATGGCGTGGCGGTAGCTGAGGTCCATTAAGGCCCTTGTCACATTCTATGGTTGCTGTGAACTATAAACACATACCTGACGCCAAACATGAAGCCCAAACAGAAGCAGAAAAGGGGGGACCTCCCCAAGCATTCAGATAGAACCCCACCCCAATCTATGCTCCCAAACACAGGATAGCTCATCTAGACTGAGGTGGTATGCTCATCCGAAAGATTCCCAGAAGCTTACATCTCAAGACCCTTAAGATACTGCCCGTTACAGATGTGAGCCTCTAGGATTTAAGGTGGGCCTTCAGTCCCATTGCTGATGTCCTTGTGAAAAAGAGGAGGGGGGAGGGGACACGGCACAAAGGTAAGAAGCAGGGGAAGACGGAAGTGATACTGGAGTAGAGTGCCCACAAGCCACTCCAGCTCTACTAGAGGCTGGAGGAAGTAGGAGAGACCCTCCAGAGAGAGGATTCTCCAGATACAGGATTCTGGCCTCCGGCCTCGGGACTAGGAGGGCAGGTCCCCGCTGCCTAAGGCCTCAGCTTGTGGCGGCAGCCTGGGAAGCTGTAAGAAGTGCGGGGTTAGCTCTGGCTAGCTGCTCATGGTGGACCCGAGGCTTTAGCAGACTGCCAGTGCGGTCTCTGGGTCCCCTGTGATATCCCTGTGCACCAGCTTAAAGGTGTCAATAAACAGCTGCATCCAGTCCTGCCGCTCGACCCCTGTGGAGAACTTGGCCCTCTCGGCGGTGTAGACCATCACAGCTACCAGCTGGGAGTAGGCAGCTGGGTTCTGAGTGAACTCCGTGGTGTTTAGCAACTGCTGGATCAGGGGGATGGTCTTGGGGAAGGTGGGGTCCGGACCCTCTTCCGTGCGGAGGAAGGTGACCGGTGGCTTGCTGCCAGGCCATGGTTCATCTGCAAGGGAGTGTCCAGAGAAGACTTTAGGGGCTCCGGTGGGTGTGGCTGGCCTCCAGCCCTCCTTAGGCCTCTGACTACAGACAGTAGTTAGGATCAGAGAGACTGAGCCAGGGAGACAAGTAGGAGTAGGAGATGCAGCAGGTGGTAGGGTCTGTCCTAGGCAGGAGGCTGAGAGCAAGCACCACAGCCAAGGAGACATAGTAGCATAGTAGCAGTTTGGGGATATCCACAGAGCTCTAGGGAAACTCAGCATGGAACATTAGTGCCCAAGCCCAGCTGAGAGATGTGCACAGATGCTGTAATCATCTCCGGTTCAGTGCTACGGCTCTACATCCCTAGGAAGAGCCAGCTCCGGAAAGTGCCCGCAGACAGAAACACACGCTAACATTTTGTCCCAGATGTGATCTGCTGCTATCCCAGGACCTGTCTTAGAGGGTCTGAGATAGTGGTACAGACACCAAGGTTGCGCAAGACCCCTGGTTCCTCCCTCCCTCCCCCGTCACCCCCCCCCCCATCACCCTCTTCTCCCCCTAGCTCCTCTTCTCTTTTTTGCGTCTAGGTCTACCTCTTACCCTCCCTCTCTGCTTCTGTCCCTTTCTCCCTCCCTTCTCTTTGTGCCTCTATTTCTTTGTCTCTCTATTCCTCCCTCTCTCCTTTTTTGTATCTTTCTCTCTCTGCCTCTTTACCCTCCCCCTTTCTGGCTTCCAGTGCCTGCTGGAGCAGAAGGTATGACTCAGTGGATGTCATGGCCAAACTCACTCCCATTTCTCTGGTAATCAAGGAGGCACGAGGACACCCAGATGTGTCCAACACAGCAGATGTCTCTAACACAGAACCAGGCCCCAGGACCTTGGACCTCCCTGGGGGCACTCCCTTCTCTAGAGGATCTTGTTTCTTTTCTCCACAACCAGTGTTCAGGTCTCGCTGCAGTCTTTGATACTATGGCCATTACTAACTTTCTTCCTGCAGTTTTGAGCCTCTCAGGCACTCTGCGCAGGCCCTAATGATTGACACCAACTCTGGCCTGAGGCAGGCTTCTGGGTGGACAGGGATGGCTATCTGGCTCAGAGGATCTGGGCTAGGTCAGAGTTGGAAGTATTCTTAACATCGTATCCACATCAGAAATGCTCACAAGGGTGCTCACCCAGGATCCCAGTCTTAAAGACACTGTCTAAGGTCACTGGGTCCCCAGACACCACATCTAATTTACCTTGAAATTTTGTATAGCAGTAAATACAAATATGCCTTGTAAGGTCAGTATAAGGGGGTTAGGGAGCTGGGGAAGGTGGAGGGGACTTGTAAGGAGTACTGCTTTGTGGGGTCCTAAGACCTCAGTGAGGCTGAGGTTCCCATTTCCTCCTGATCTTGCCACCTTCCAGAGCTGGGGTGCCCACAGGTGGGAACTGCCTGACCCTGGGCCCCCATCCTGGAACCACTGCACCCTATCACCCAGTGTCACCCTATATAGGCCAGATACAGATGTCACCAGACAGGAAGATGCAGAGAGGCAGCTCTTTGAACACAGAGGCGAAATCTCCTCCCTAAGACACCGGCCGATCAAATTCAGCAGGCAAAACGGAGGCAGACCAAGAGCAAGGCTGTGCTTGAGAGAGCAAGGCTCAGTCAACAACAGAAGATCAACACGACTAACCATTGCTTTCACAGCTAAAGAAGCCTCACGAGGTGTCGCCAACAGAGCAAGCATGTGACAAGATTCAATACCTTCCTTTCCCGATGACAAAGCTTAACAACTAAAAGCTACCCCGTAAAGACAGCCACAGAAACCCACAGCTGATGTCACACGTTTGGAGTAGAAGCTCGGACATTTCCAACTGTGATCAGGAGCAAGACTCGGGGAATCAAGGTCAGAGCCATCTGTGGCCCTGGCCTCCTCTACACAAACCTCCCTTAATACGTCCTGTAACACTACTGTGCTACAGTCTGATACCATTACCCACCAAAGGCGCCAGGAGCCAGGGTTCGGGGTCTCACTGCAGACGTGGCCGCCAGCCTTTGACAGATAACCAGGACTGGCAACCTGAGGCCAGCACTCTAGCTTCCCCCAGTCTTCCCCAGATAACTTCGCTGGGTGGCTGAGGCCAAGGCGTGCCCTGAGAGTGTGTTCTTGGTAAGGACCCCTGAACAGTGTGAGACCCTGACTCCCACTCCACAGGGTCCCTTCCGTTAGTGGTCTCACAGCCTGTGCACATGCTTAGTGGGCCACTTTGTCTTTGGGAAGGACCCAGGAACAGCCGAGAGTTTGCAGGGAGATGCAGATGCATAGTTCAGGCTACAAGGACTAGTATCTGTGGCCCATCTCCACGGCAGCCCCACCATGCAAAACTGCCCCCACTACTTGATGCTCCTGGGAGGGGCAGGGCTTGCAGAGGGGACTGCATGGTTCCTAAGGTCCCAGGACATCTACCTGAGGGTCTTGCCCAGTCACTCTGTAGCAGAGGCATTGTCAGGGTCTCAGCATAGCAGGGATGCCTCTAACCCTTCCTTGGGAGTAGCAGCTCTGGTTCCAGCCACAAAGGCCACAAAGGTAGCCACAGGGTTAGAAGCAAAGCCAATCCACTACTGCTGGTAGGTATCAGTGTGCTTGCCCCAGATATCACACACTAGTCATTCTGTGTGGTGATATCTTTCTTGCACAAATAAAGCCTGCCTGGGGGTCAGAGAACGGAGCTTGCCACTAGCTAGCCATAGAGGTTTTGGAGGTCTGTACAGACAGACAGGAAAGTGATGTAGCTGGGCAGAAACTTGCCGCTAGCTAACCACAGAGGTCTGTACAGACAGACAGGAAGTGACGTAGCTAGGCAGAAACAGGATATAAGCAGGGACAAAGAAGAAATCACGCTCTTCTCTGCTGAGATGCTTAGGAGGTAAGGTGTGCTGTGGCTTGCTCCTTCTCTCTGATCTCTCAGCATTTCCCTCTGTATCTGCCTCTGACCTTTTATTATCTACATCAATTAAGAACTCCTTTTATAATTCTGCCCATCAATTTTAGGGTTGTGTCTTTTGACAAGAGCTTGTCAGGCCCTGGCATATGGACAGCTTTAGTTATGACGGCCCAGGACCAAGAAGAGAGCCCCCAGTGTTAGGGAGACTACGGACTCTTGGATGAGACTATGTTGAAATGCCTTTTTGATTAGTGTCCAAGAGCCAAGCACAGCCAGGCCAGTAGTCTCTGCCCAGATGGTACTCCGCAGGGGCTCAGGACGACACTACATGCTCCTAGAAGCCAGTCCTCATCCTGAGCCCCTGACTCTACCATGCCAGGGGTGAACTTCAAGGGTTTTTCTTAAGGAAGCACCTCCACAGTGGCACACCCTTGAGGCTGCACAATTCCTTGTAGCATCCCTGGCTATTAGAACAAGAAGGGGTTGCTCTGCTTGTCTGGGGTTAGGATTTCAGGCACCCATGTTACCTGTTTGGCAGGGAAGTTCTGGACACACGATCTGGGGGTCTAGAAGAGAGAAGAGACCAGGTCTTTATTAGCACCTACTGGGCCCTCAGTGGTCACCTACTAGTCTGCCAGGGGTAAAGGTCTCACCACTCACCTGGGCAAAGGACATCTTCCATGTCATCGATGAACTTCTCGGCCACCAGGTCAGAGAAGAGTGTCATGTTGCGCACCTGCTGAGGCTTGTCGCAGGCGATGGAGTAGAGGTTCTCACTCTCATGCGTCTCATGGAACATGTCACCGATGCCGATGGCCGTCACAGTGACATCTCGATCACACAGTGCCCGAAGATTGAGGTCATCATCTCGGGGGTCATGGCGCCCATCTGTGATGACCACTGCGAACACCCGGGTCTTCTGGCGCCGGCTCTCTTTGATGAGCTGATTGTAGGCAAACTTGAGGGCAGAGGGTGTCCAGGTGCCACCAGCAATCCACTCGAGGTTTTTGACAGCCTCCTTGAAACTGGACAGGGAGTTGACTCGTTCGTCGTCTAGCCGGATGGCTTCAAAGGTGCCTTCGTGGCTGTACTGCACCACACCCACACGTGTGCCTACAAGGGTGCAACAGTGTGAACAGTGTCTACCTTGCCTGCTTTCCCACTCTGGTGACCGTGACCTGGCCACCTTGAGTGAAATCCCGGGCAGAGAAAAGATGCTGGTTAGAGGTAGGGTTCTGGCTTCTGCCTCAGGGCCCTTCATGGTTTTCACTGACCTGTCTCGGACTTGGGATCCTTGGCAATGGCACCCAGCCTGTTGACCACATTGATGACGAAGTTCTTCTCCAAGGTGAAGTTGGTGTAGCCAATACTCTCAGAGCTATCAATGACGAAGACCACATCCAGAGCACCACAACGCTTCTCACAGTCTGGAAGTGTGTGTGTGGGGATGACAGGGTTAGTGAGTGTGAAGGCCCTTGGGGCGCAGGGCCGGGGATACTACGAGCGATCCCTTCCCCACACACGCCATCCCTCCTGCAGCCACGCACACATCCTGATGCACTGTGCCAACTCACCGCAGCACCCACAGGTTTCCCTCACATAGGTCATGACGTCACATTCCTGCAACACAACCCCAGTGGGTCTATTCAGGCAGGGAGCACCTACTGTTGCCTGAGGGCTCCCATAGGAGTCCCTAACCCCATGACTACTGGTGACCACGACATGTGGAGTAGAGGTACACACATCTCACATCTCCAACTTTGCCCTCTGACCTTACCCACGCCAACTCCCCCCACTGAGCCCTATCCTCTGGTCTTGTTCTTGCCAACCTGACCACTGCTGACTTTTGCCCTTTGAACTTACACCCACCAAACTTGACACATCTTCTGACCTTGTCTCTGCCAACCTCAAACCTGTTGGCTTTGACCTCTGCACATGTGCCTCTGACTCTGCCCTCTGAGCTTCTCCTCTGACTTTGCTCTTGCCAACCCCCTGTACTCGACGCTCTTGGTCTTTGCTTTTTAGAAGACAGAAGGACACTTATGAACAAGGATACTGATGATTCCATGCTATGTGACACCTACCGTGAGACCAGGGTCTCCAGGAGGGCCGGGTTCTCCCTGGAGGACAAGGGCAACATTGAGAGGTGAGGCTGCTGGGTCCAAGTTGCTCCTGGTACCACCACCCAGTGCTTATCAACCCATGGGCCCACTAAAGGCAGAACCAGGATGCTCCAGGTACTTCAGTCTGGCTGGCCCAGGAGCTATGGGCCAAAGGGATAGAGATGGCTTACCTCAGGTCCTGGGACTCCTCTTGGCCCCCGAGGGCCAGGTTCACCAGGGGGACCAGGATCAGCCTGAGGAGGAACAGGGAAGTAGGCTCAATATGGCCATAGGAGGTCTCTTTGCCCCATAGGAGTATAGATTCCCCTGTCAATGGCCTCTTCTGGGATACAGTGGGTAAGAAGGACGACTCTATCACCCACTTCATCCTGACTCTGACGTAGCCCCAGGAATGTCCTAAGCTGCCACTCTCAGGGCCTGGTAGGCAAGAGAGCATAGAAGGCCACTAAGGAACTCAAATATAGGGCTGGGACAACTCCTGCTGATAAATCCCATGGTCCTCTATCTACTCTGTGTGCCCAGCGTACGTACCCATCCATTACCTGTCCACCCATCCACCATCCCTGCACTGAACTGCCAGTCCCAGCCATCTGCCATTCATCCTTATTTGTGCTGTCTTGCCCTTACTGTTCCTCATGACTCCACATGTCCATCTAGACACCAATGGCTCTAGGGACACGGAAGTGAAGACGATAAGGGCCGGGCTTGTGCCATTGAACCAATAGGAGGTGCTGGCTGAGGATGGATGAAGACCACAAGAGGCCTCTGAGTCTGACCATTCCCTTCAAGAGCTTGGTGAAGGGCAGGTGGGTGTTTTCTTGGGAATCTTAGGCCCTCCTCATGCGGCTAGCCCACTGCCCTGGGCATAGGATGGTGACACTCACTGGCTCGCCCTTGTCTCCCTTCCTTCCGGGTGCTCCTTTCAGACCAAAGTCTCCTCGGCCTCCCTGTGACACGGGACACATGTTAGTTGTGGGCAATGGGTGGCATACACACTCCCACCCCCACAGTACAAGACCTTCTACAGACTTCCAGGAACTCAGAGGTGACACAGAAGCCATACACGGAGTTCAGCATCTGTTAAGGATGCTGGGAATTTTCAGGAGGAGCCCTGGCTTTTGTTTGGAAAAGGACCCCATGTTGTGTCCTTTAACCAACACTTAAAGCCCAGCCAGGGCCTATGTAGCTTGTCCTGAGCCAAGGACATGACCAAAAGATAGTCTCACAGTGGACATGGCATGCAGGACTTCCATAACCCCACCAGGAAAAGACTAATTGGGACAAGATCCCCAAGTACCTCAGGGCCTGGTGGGCCGGGTTCTCCTTTTTCACCCTGTGAAGAAAGAAAAGGTCTGACAGGTTACTCAGTCATAGACCCCAAGTCTAACTACAGAAAGAGAAGCCCACCAACCCTTGGAGTTGAGCTCACCCCTTATGACTTCTGGGATATCAGAATTATTTAGGAGCTCACACACTTCAGGTAATGGCCGCAGAGCCCACACATGCTGAGCCATGCTGACCCAATCCTGGGCTATGTCTGACCCTGGGCATCTCCTGGTACTGGCTGGATCTGCCTTTGCACCAAGTGGCAGGTGGCCCCAGTCCCCTCCCTATTTCTAGTCCCACATAGAGGGAACCACAGAAGCCTTGGGGCCCAACCCGCCGGGTTTTCCTGGGAGTTTTTATCTCATGCCATGACTCACAGGGGTCCCTCGGGGTCCTGGGTAGCTGAATCCAGGTCTTCCAGGGTCTCCCTGAAGGGGAAGGTTGAGTTAGTTGAAATGACTGATGAGGAGGTAGTGTCCGAATAGTGCAGAGAGGGCCAGGATATTTTGTGTAGGGTGGGAAGGCAGGCTGTGAGCCTCGCCATGCTCGTACATCTCTGGACTGAAGTGAGTGCCATTGAGGTTCCAGGTAACTCAGGGGCCGGGGCACACACTAGAGAGGTCATTGGGACCATGCAGTACCCATATGGCTGTCCATCCCTCAGGACCCTGCCATCTTTTCAGGCAGGCCATTGCTGGGGAGGGCAGAAGACAGGCTGCATGGTCTCCTACCGCTCTCCATGCTCAGAGGCTGGGTCTCTGCCCTGGCCAGTCTCACTAGGAGCTGGGAATAGGAGGCTCAATGGAGGCTTCTCTCCTGCTCCAGGGCCAAGCTTCTTGCAACCTTCCTGTTGGGTACCTCCACAGGCAATTGCTTTGGACCCCATCCCATATTGCCAGGAGGAAGGGACGTACCTTGGGACCTGGCTGTCCTGAATCTCCACGGGGTCCAGCATCACCAGGGTCACCTCTAGATCCCTGCGGGCAGGAGAGGAGACAGAGGTGGCCTTGTCACCTGAAATGGTGATGACCTAACCTGCTTTGACCAGCTCGGAGAAGACGGTAGGTCTTGGCATCAGGGCCACCACCTTGCCTGGGATTAGGGGCTGGGATGAGTTGGGGAGTAGGTAATTGATGGTTTCTAGAGTAGGTAGGGGAGTGGGAAGGGGGTCTGGGGCAGAATGGTGAGTGGGTGGAGGAAGGTGGAGTGGGAGATCAAGGGGGCAGCATGAGGGGTGGATGGGGGCAAGGGGCAGGGTGGGGAGCTGATGAAGGTTTGGGGGAGGGTAGAGTAGGGAGTCATGGGGCAAGACAGGGAACAGGTGGAGGGTTGAAGCGGGATTGAGAACAGTGTTCGGAGTGGGTGGAGTCTGGGGGCAGGATGCTGTCACGGTCTCAGTGCTCCTACTGTCCTGATACCAACCTGTTTTCCCGGCTCCCCAAGAGCCCCCTGGGGGCCTCTGGGTCCAGGCAGACCTCTGTCTCCCTGCAAAGAAACGAGGTGAGGGTAAGATGGCGAGGTCCTGTGGTCTAAGTGCACCTCAGGGTCCTGACGTCAACCCTGTGGTTTAGGGTGAGGTCAAGCTGCCCTCATCCACTCACTGACCAGTGGTAGTCTCCCTTGACTGGATCTGTGAGAAGGCTAAGTGGGGGCAGGAAGGTTATTGGGCACAGTTTCCTCCAGCCTGGCCTCTGCCACCTCCTGTCCTGGGGACAGTACCATTCAGTCTGGTATCTGCCGCCCCCTGCCCTGCGTACCTTGGCTCCTTTGCTGCCAATTTCTCCAGCCAGGCCTCGAGGCCCCTCAGGACCAGGGTCTCCCTGAGAGAAGACAGGTCTGGTCAGGTTTTAGCCAAAGAGTGATTTTGATGCCCCTTCTCCAGAGGCAGTATTGGGGGAATGTGAGGATGGGGTTATAGGAACAAGTCATCAATTCACTGGGACAAAGACGCTGGTGTGAGGTTGGGATGGTAGCGTCCTTCCTCCTGACATCTTGTCATCCCCACAGACCAACTGCCTCTGTCCCGCCGAGGCCACTCTGGGGGTGAGGGACCCATAACCAGCTTAGAGGAAAGCTCCTTCACCATCATCCTTGAGATGGGTAGCACCCTTCCAGAAGCCCCAGGGACAGCTGGGAGTAGGAGCTCACCTGTCTGATTTTTACTTTCTCAGACAATGCAGGGACCAAATCCCCCTCAGTGGTTAGACCTCTGAGTTTTGCTCTCCCAATGGATGGGGATGGGGGTCAACCCCTCAGCTTTATGGGGAGATTCCAGAGCAGACCCCTTGGCTCCTTACAGAGCAACTTACCTTCTCTCCCTTTGGGCCATCAGTTCCCGGGCCACCCTTGGTTCCAGGATCTCCCCTGCGTCCCTGTAGAGAATGAGGATGAATGAAACTGCTAAGAGGGCCACATGGGCCACATGTAGTCCTCTTCTCCCTAGGACACTGGGGCCCTGGGCCTGGTATTCCCTCCCAGTGATGTCGGCCTGGGTATCTATGTTCATGGCTCTATCTTCATACTGCTACTATGTCAGTTTTGTCCCAGTCAGAGAGTCGGGACTCGGTGTGTGGGTACTCCTGGCCAGGCTGTAAGTCCTGGGCAGTGCCTGGGATGAGGCTCGGACATTCAGCATGGTCATTCCTGACCACTCCCTGTCTCTTCTAAGGATCAGCCCTGGGATGGGGCCCCTATGCCAAGCTCAGCTTCAGAGGTCCCTTTTGAAGGAACAATAGTGAACGGGCTGACTGTCCTCAGTCAATGCCATTTGTCAATGGCCCTTCCTCAACCTTGCTGCCCAGAGTCATGCCACAGAGGAGCCTGACTCAGGTGAGAGGCTTAGGGTCTGTAGGTGGGGTAAACTCACCGGCTCTCCTTTTGGTCCACGGGGGCCAGGGCCTCCCTTGCCTCCTTTCACCCCTGGACTTCCAGGAGCTCCGTTGTTGCCTTGATATCCCTGTGCGGGGCAGGGACAATTCAGCATGGCTGAGGAATGCGCAGGAGCTAGTGCGTGATGGCCCCCTTAGCCATTCCTTGCCATCCCTCCCCACACGTGAGGGCACAGAACAGTGTGGATGACATCCGGCCAGGAGAGTGAGCAGGCCAGAGACTCACCTTGCTCCCCTTGTCTCCAGGATCTCCTGGTGGTCCCCTGCGTCCTGGGCGGCCAGAGTCCCCCTGAAGAGTTGGGGTGATATCAGCTTTTTTTCAAGGACAGATATGTACTGGGCAGTGAGGCAGGACCACATTCTTGGGGCACTCAGGATGCCAGGCATAAGGGGGGGGAAGACCTCGCCTTGGTGCCCAAAAGACCAACCCATGAACCCAGTCTGTTGCCCCGCTGAGGAAGGGGACCTATTCGAGGCCCTCGTGGCAGTGGGATTGCTAGGCAGGCTCAGGGGAGGAAGCAGGTAGAAGGGACATGGTCTGGGCTGCTAGGGAAAGACTGCCTAGCCCATGTCTAAAGGTCCAGGGTTACCAAGAGCAAGGGGTCACCAGGCTTCAGTGACTAGAGGCCCTTCAGGGTCTCTGCCAGTTTGGAAGGTGGGGGTGGGCAAGCTGTGCTACATGTGACCATGTGACCCTGCCCTTGAATAGTGAAATTGAGGAGCTAGGCTTCACACCCTGATGTGAGTTGGCCTATCCACTCATCCTGTATGAGCTGGGCTGTGCCCTCATCCTGTATGAGCTGACACAGGGAGCCCTGAGGCAGGGACTTCTGTGATGGCAGCCTGTTCTAGAGCTATATCTAGCCAAGTCCTTACCTTGGCACCTTGGTCTCCTTGCTCGCCTGGGCTTCCGGCTTCTCCAGGGTATCCATCGGGGCCCTGAGGGAGGTGGGAAGGATTCCTGCTGAGTGCTACCAAGGATGAACTATGCTTCCCATAAGCCAAGAACACCAACACAGAGCCGGGCCCCGGGAGCTGCTGCTCACTCGGGCTATGAGGTTCCTGGCTTAACAGGAGCCACGCCTAAGACTGCCCTTGACGGCCATCAAAGTTTCAGAACTTCCCAGCCTAGGACCATGAGCTCCACCTGGCCTGGAAACCATATATGTCTAGGGGTTGGCTCATAGGCTCCTGAGGGTTTGGGTTGTGACCCCAAGACTAGCAAAGTTCCAGACTGAGATAAATGCCAAGCAGGGAGAGGATGGGCAGAAGAGAGAATCCAAAGACTTGCTTCCAGCCTAGCCTGGTAGCCATGTGCCCTGTATGATGTTTACGTGATAGACAGTGAGGACGGTGAAGTTACTCACCCGACTTCCTGGGTCTCCCTTGCAGCCAGGAGGCCCAATGCGGCCCAGTTTGCCCTGAAAGAAAAAGTAGGAATATCAGAGTGTAGATCTGGGGTCTATGCACATCAGTGATGGCACCACTCAGGGCCTTGTATGACAGGCTGCTGCACCCTAGCCAGGGCACAGGAAGGTGAGGTGAGGTGATTCACATTTTGCTTCATTCTGTCTCCATGGAGACAGAATCCCAGGACCAGGCCGGGTGCATGGGTGTGGAATGTTCTCACCATGCACACACGTGGTCTCTCTCTCTCTCTCTCTCTCTCTCTCTCTCTCTCTCTCTCTCTCTCTCTCTCTCTCTCTCTCTCTCATTCTGTGTCTGTGAGTGATTGGGGTGTGTGTGTATATGTTCATATGTATCTGTGTGAATAGATTAATGTGTCTGGAGGGGGAGGCAGTGGCTGGCAGTGGGGGTGGGGCTGGTGACTCTACCTTCTGTCCATCAGTTCCATTCTTGCCAGCTAGGCCGGGGGCTCCCTGGAGAAGAAAGAAAAGGGACTGGTTAGTCCCAATCCTTGTCCACTCCGAGCAGCGTGGCAGGGCACACCCCTCCCTGCAGGCTTACCTTCCGACCGTCTGATCCAAATTCACCCTGTGCAGGAGGCAAGCAAAGTGTTAGCTGAGCTTCCAAGCTTCTCAGACACTGTTGTCTTTGGGGTGCAAATGAAGACCCCCTCAGCCCTAACATGAGGCCAGAACTAAGACCTAGGCCAGAACGCAGGTCTGCCTCCAGGAGCTGACAGGCTCCTTGCTGTCAGTGGCTCTCTATGTCTTGTGTGGCATCATGACTTACCTTCTCTCCCTTGAAGCCAGGCACACCCTAAGGGCGGAAGGAAGAGACAATGCATTACCAAGGGCATGTTGGCTGCGTCATGCCTGGAAATCACATGTGGGTCTTGAACACATGCTCAATAGAGGAGGGGTCAGGCTGGACACATCATTTTGGAGTGACCTTCAGACTGTAGAGGCATTTCTCTTCTTTGGCAACAGGGGCTGGGCTGTGGACATCCCTGGGGACAGGGTGGGGAACTGCCCCAAATTAACCTTCCTCTGCTTCCCTTCCCCCATCCTAGCCCCAGGTAGGGAACTTGCCTTGGGTCCTGGGAATCCAATGGGGCCTTCGATGCCAGGGTCTCCCTGTGAAGAAGAAACGAAGAACCTTGGGTGTGATCCCAGCCCTGGGTGCAGGGAGAGTGGTTGGGGGTCATGCCAGGGGCCAGAGGCTATGTGGGGACCTTACCTGTCGTCCCTTCTGTCCAGGCTCTCCTGGCTCGCCCATGTTGCCCTTGGCGCCCTAAAAGTAGAGGATAGTGAAAAGGGTAAATTGAGGCAAGGGAACCCTGTCACCTCCTGGGAGAGGTGGTATGGCAAGAGCTGTTGGGCCTTCTCTAGGTGGGACTATCTTGGAATAGGGCCAGCTGCCCCGAGAGTCCCAGTGGCCCCCACCACGCTCTTGCTGACTGTCTGAGATTTGTTAGACAACCCTCCAAGAAGCCACACTGCAAATGGGGCAGAGCAGCTTCTCAGCTGGGGACACTAGCTAGGCTTGGAACCTTTGTACCATAGCCCAGACCACAGCTCTCCATAGGCCAGCATGGGACACATGAGGACATTAATTCCTCTTGAATGGGATAGGCATAGATTGGAAGAACTAGAAGGATCAGGGCTTCAGAAAACCACACAAAATCAGACTTCCAGGGATCTGAAGTTTTAACTTTACATACATAATAGATGTAGCAACTTATTACTATCCCTTCACTTTAAATGCAAAGGGACAGAGAAGAAGGAAAAACAAGTCAAAAGGTAGAGAGGAGGAGGAGGCCAGGCAGAGCAAGCGGTCGGAACCCTGTGTGTCACAGCTATGCTCAGCTCTGAAATCCCTATGGTATCCACCTCCGGGGGCCTGGATCACAGCTCTGCTGTGGGAGTGACAAGGTGGCCCTGGGGCAAATTCATTCCCAGCTATAGCAGGGTGCGCGTGGCTTGTGGCCAGGACTGGAAGAAGCCAGGTCAGAGAGTGGCTGGTGCAGGAGGTATCTCAGCCAGCTACCCACTGCTGTAGAAGCTCTCACTGTACTTGCAAAGAGCACGAGGGCGCTTAACTTCCTCTCCAAGCCACTGCGTGTGACTGGCGTCATCTCAACCTCTTCCCACCCTCCTGCCTTCTGACACACGCACTGTCAGTTTCAGACGCTGAGGTAGTGAAGCTGGAAGGGATTCATTTTATACAGCTCTGTTGTTAGAAAAAAAATGCCAGGTGACCATTCAAAGCAGAGTTCTCAAGGTTAGTCTAGAATCAAATAAATCTCCAGAGGACACCTCTCGGCAATCAGCAATTATGTCACTGACAGCAGGGTACCTGTGTGTTATCTCCCCACATGAGCATGCTTGCTTATTTTGGAAATGTGTTTTAGGTGGCATATCTTAAAATTTAAAAAAAATATTTCCTACTTTTCTCAAAATAACCATTTAAAAGGAAATGGATAAAATCTGAAGCTTAGGTGCTCCAAGTTTGGAAGTGCCATCTACAGTCAGCTGGCCTTCAGTGTGGAATTCTGGCAGGTCACGGGCTTCCTGGAGCATGGGCCATGGGTTCTTGGGCCTCTTACCTTCTGTCCTCTGTAGCCCTTGGGTCCATGGGGTCCAGGAATCTCCAGGCAGCTCACCTTGTAGCACTGAAATGAGGTGGACAGACAGCAGGTCAGGAAGGTGGGACTGGAGACAGACATAACCTTGAACTTCCAGAGGAAGTCTCCAAACACCCATACAGACAAGCAGAGCTGAGTGGGGGACCAGACACACAGGGTACTACACAGGTGGGGGCCAGTGCTTAGTCAAATCATCTAGCCAGGTTTTGGCTAAGCAGGTCTGAGGTAAACAATGACAGACAGTAACAAGGACCAAAGAGCTCTGGTCATAGCTAGGCACCATCTGTATACGGGGACTGATTTGCCTTTTTAAAAAAATAGCTGCTCTAGGATGATGTGTCTCCATAAAAGAAGTAGAGCAGGACTCTGGGTACCCAGGGCTGTAGGACCCCAAGATAAGTACATGGCTTCCAGTCTGGGTTGGATAAAGGCCCCAGTCTGGGACATGACTCAGCTTTTCCAGAAGTCATGTGTTTGAGTTCCAGCCCCCAGGGGACTAAGCAGATTGGGTTTGATTGGGGATGGACGAGGGCTTCATGCAGATTTAAGAGTATCAGGTCGCTTTATGCAGGCTTAAGAATATCAGGCCCAACAGAGCAGGAGGACATCAGTTCTTTACTGCTCTGGTCTGCTCAAGGCCCTGGGGAACCAGGAGTGTGGCGTTGTTCCTCTGCTGGCTCAGCAGTCTTGGTTGCCAACAGGTAGCATAGGCTGGGCTGTAGTGACAGGGCCACTCACCTCTCCATAGGCTTCATGTTTCTGCAGAAAAGACAGAGAGCCGGATTAGCCTGAGCCTGGGGACATGTGTGACGCTTCCCGAGTCTGGGTGAGGATGGTGGATATGGAAGACTTAACCCTGACCTCCCTCAACTGCCTTACTCACAGAGGGATACGCTCAACTCTAACTGCTACCACACCGGTGAGTGGACAATATCCCCAGTCTCTACCCCAGTCACAGCCGCTCACCATGACCTTGATGATACGGTTGATGGTGTCCTGGTCAATCTCAGTGGAGTCAGGCCTCATGGTGGCATAGTTGTTGCGGTAGAGCTCATGTGGGGTGTTAGCGATGTCCCGAAGGCCTTGCTCATTTAGGTTCCTGTTAGGGGCCACAGCAAAGAGCCGGATGCCCTCCTCACGGGCGCGCTCAGCCTGCATTTTGATGCCCCCACACGGACTGCCTGTGACGTGGCCGTCGGTGATGACCACAGCAAAGTTGACCACCCCTCGGCCTACATGCTGCCGGATCTGCTGTGTCATGTTGGCCAGGGCGCAGTCAGTAAAGGTGCCTCTGCGGAAGGAGCGGATGCTTTGGAGGCTCTTGGTGAAGGAGGCCCGGTCGCTGCCTGGTGGGCTGAATACCTCCACCTGGTCCGAGAAGTGCAGACCACCGTAACGCCAGCTCAGGGCCACCTGGTCCAGGTAGAATTCATTCTGCAGCTGGCTGATGAACTGAGGTACGAACTGTTGCATATGATAGAGCAGGCTGTCCGTGGGGGACTGCATGGCCACGCTCTCCGAGGTGTCTAACACGAAGTACACGTTGACCGGGCAATCCGCCTTCTCTGGAGTGGGGGAGGGCGACAACATTAAACCCATCAGGGCTTGCAAAGTGGGGGCTTACATGAGCCCAGCCGCACCCTATGGAATACCACTTCTCTCCCAGAACTCCAGAGCCCCACGCAGGTACCTGGACAGTTGTTGTTCCTGTCAGTGGTAGAGATGTCGGGTGAGATGACTTCCTGCTGCTGAGCATGGAGGACTCCCAAGAGCCCCCCCAGCAGGAACACAGAAAAAGAACCCCGAAGCATCTTCACAGTACTCATGGGCCCTGATGTCCTGCAATAAAAGCAGGGATCATTACAGACACCCCCACCAATACAACGCTGCCCTCCCAGGATGGGATGCACATGGCTGGTAATTCCTTGAGGAACCAGGGACCTCCATGACCCACGTTGTTGCCCCAACCAGCAAGAGAGCTGTGCCTCTCCAACTCTTGGTTGGCTGCAGGGCTCAGTTCTAGGCTGGATTTAGACATTCAGCCCTTTCCTGCTCTCTGGGGCCAGAGTACACACAGATGGGTCTGCTTGAGTGGAAACACCAGGGAGCAGTGTCTCTTCACACATCCCACTCCAGGGCCTGCATGGGAACAGGAGGAGGGAGAAACATGCCTACTTCACTCAGTGGGCGGGTCCTAATATCAGTGTAGGATGCTGGGCGTATCCCTCTCCCTATAGCCTGATCCCCTGTCACATGGGCATTGGTATGGACTGAGCGGGGTCAGAGCTAGTCAGACACAGTGACTTTTAGTATGATTTCCACTAGGTGCCAGCAGGCTGAGGGCAGCCCTTTCCCCACCGTGAATGCAGCAAGACCACTAGGGAAGAAGCAACACAGACTCTGAGGCAGGGGTGGGTGTGTCCCTGAACTTGTTATCTGGGAAATTTCTTCAATCAGAGAAACTACTCCAGATTTCAGATGTTACATTATTTTAGTTTATAAATTAGTAGAATAAGTGAACAGCATACTAATGGAATGTACCAAGTATTACACACATACTTTTAATCCCAGCATTTGGGAGCCATGAGCTCAAGACCAGCTAGTCTACATAGCAGGATCCTATCTCAAAAAAAAAAAAATGAAATAGACTATACATGAGTGAGGTAGTTAGAATGTAATTGGCACCCATAAGATCATAGGGTGTGACACTATTAGGAGGCGTGGCTTTGCTGGAATAGGTGTGGCCTTGTTGGAGGAAGTGTGTCACTGTGGGGGTGGGTTTTGAGGTCTCCTATGCTCAAGCTACTCCCAGTGACACAGTCCTCTTCCTGTTGCCATTGAGTCAAGATGTAGAACTCTCAGCTCCTTCTCCAGCACCATGTCTGCCTGCACACCACCATGTTCCACCATGATGACAATGAACTACTTCTGAAATTGTAAGGCACCCCAATGAAATATTTCCTTCATAAGCATGGCTGTGGTCATGGTGTCTCCACAGCAATTAGAAACCCCAACTAAGACAATATGCAACTGTTGATAGAGATGGTAAGAACAGACAGGAGACACAGAATAGGTCGTGGGAGTAAAAATGAGCATAATAGTAACTGAAAAGACAGGTGGCCTTAGGAGAAACAAAGAAATGACAGAGGGACCTTGTGTTGAGGATCATGAAAGCCCGTCATCACCAGGAACACAGAATTAATTAGGCACATTCAAGTGAAGTGCACCAGTTGGGAAATCTAGCTTGTAATGAGAATTCTAAAACTATCCACATAGGAACAAAACAAAAACAAACAGAAGGGCAAAAACAAACTCTAGGAAACATCTAAAGGAAAAAAATTCATTGGCAGTTATATAGACAGCCATAACTGTCCCAGAATAACCCCTGACTTTCACCTCCTGGTATTCCTATGCTTCTGTAGCCTTCTCACATCAAGTCACTGCTGGACAATGAAATGACGGTGTGCAGCTTCTAAGATGAGGTATGTGTTTGTGCGCCCAGCACACGGGAGATGGAGGCAGGAGGACTGAGGGCTCGAGACAAGCTTGAGAAATGTAAAAAGGTTCCATCTCATAAACCAGAATGAAAACCACAAACATTTTGATGGACTGTTACTAGGTAGGCATGGTCTTAGAACTTCATGTCTCCTGGATGAACTGAGCCTCCCCCATCAATATGGAACATCCTTCTTTGTCTCTTGGATATTTTTAAAATTTAAGGTCTGTTTTTGAATGCCCCTTTCTGATCCATCACTACTTTTTCTCTTTAGATCTAAAGTGAGACTCTTGTAGAGGACATGAGACTGTTTTGTTTTTTCTAAGTCCATCCTGCCAATCTCTGTTTCTTAACTGCATTATTAATCCAGTTTCATTAAAAGTAATTACTGACAAAGGGTGGCCTCTATCTTTGCATTCGTTCTCTCTATATCTTACACATCTGTGTCCCTATCTTTTTGTAAAACTGTCTACATTTGTGCTTAGTTGATTTTTAGTCATGAAATGTTTATATACTCTTTTCATTTCTTTGGTATTTGTTTACTCTTCCCAGGTGGTTACCAGGGAGACTGAATCTCTCTTCCTAAAATTGAAACTGTTTGAATCTGTACCTCTTTAATGACATAAATAGTCTCTTCCTTTAATATCTCTATGCCGATTCCTTTCAGCCACCAGTGTCATTAAACTCCATCCTGGGGCTGGAGAGATGGCTCGGTGTTAGGAAGGTGTACTGCGCTTGCAAGATGACCCAAGGTTAGCTCCCAGCATCCATGTTGGGTGGCTCACAACTTCCTGTAATTCCAAATGCAGGGGACCTGATGCTCTTTTCTGGCCTCCAGCACTCACATGCACATCCCCAACACACACACACACACACACACACACACACACACACACACACACACATTTAGAAACTCTTTGGTACCTTAAGGGAATTGGCTCCAGGATATGTAATTATGTATATCCTCCTTATATGCTTGAAATCATCTCTAGACTGCTGTTAATGCCAAGCACAATGGAAATTCTATATAAACATTTGTTATACGACATTTTAAAGACACTGACAGGGAGTAAAAGGTCTGTAAATATTCAGTACAAAAAATTTATTTTCAATCTGTGATTGGATTTAGAGATATGGAAAAAGTGAATAAGAAGGCTGACCATGTTTCATTTCAAAAATAACTAATATATATTTAAGTTTTTATTTTATGTGGATGGTTATTTTGCAAGCATGTATGTATGTGTGCCACACGTGTTCCTGGTACCTAAGGAGTCCAGAAGAGGATGTCCAATCCCCTGCAACTGGACAACGGGAGTTACATATTGTAATGAGCTGCCGTGTGGTGCTGGGAATGGAATCGGGGTTCTCTGGAAGAGCAGCCAGTGCTTTTAACCACTGAGCCATCTCTCCATCCCTATAACTAACATTTTAATACATACACTAGTTTCTTAAATCATATAGCAAAGAGACTTTGAAATTACAAATAAAAATTGTAATACTAGCTCTTAAACTAATAATTGTTTTCTTTAAAATGTATTAGCTTTTAAAACCAAGTAGAAACAAAGACGGGAGCTACCCTCCATTGCTACAATAACACTAGCTTTTAACAGTTGCCCACACATTTTCCTTTCCTGAGACATTTATGATTTCTTATGGCTTTTAATTGTTGTCCATCATCCTTCGTACTAGCCTTCAGGCTTTTCCTTAGCATTCTTCTCAGGGTAAAGAAAGTGATGACGTCCATTTCTCTCTTACTTTGAAGCACAGTTTTGTTAGATGCAGGCTTCTTGGCTGATAGTGTTTTACCTCCAGAACTTTGACTACGTTTACCCTCTGCCTCTGGACTCGAACTTTGATAAGAAATCTGCCAGTAAACTTATCAAGGCTCCTTTGTATGTGACAAGTCATTTTTTTTTCTTTTTCTCTGCTTTCAAGATTTCGTCTTTGGAGTTAAACTTTGACGGGTCTTAGTGTAGGCCTCTCTGAGTTCATTCTGCTTGGAGTTTAAGCTTCTTGGATGGTAATATTCATGTCATTTATCAGATCTGTGAGGTCTCCCCCCCCCGATACTATTTCTTCAATCCTCTCCTCCCTTTTCTCTCTCCTTGTATGACAATCCTTCTGTGCTTATGTTCATCCTGATGATGCCCCACAGGCCCCTTTGACTTTGTTCACTTTTCTCAAGAATTCTCTTTCCATGGGCTTGACAACTCCCTTGTTCTGTCTGCAAGTTCACTGATTCTCTCTTCCAACGGCTCAAATATGCCTCTGACTCTCTCTAGTAAAATTTGTCATTTCAATTCTGTACTTTTCAGGTCTGTTTAGCTTACTTCTAGAGTTTTCTGACTCTTTATTGACATTTTCATCCGTTCGTACATCATTTGCCAACTTTCTCTATGTCCTACATTAGTTCTTTAAGCACTTTAAAAATGGCTGTTCTAATGTCTTTGTCTAGTATATCCACCACTGAGTTGTTTTCACACATAGGCTCTATTGACTTATTTCTTCCCCTTACTAGTCAAGCACTCTACCACTGAGTCATATGCCTGCCCTTCTTCCTTGGTATATCTACTGACCCGACAACTGTTTTTATCTCCCAGTGCAATTCTCATGACTTCCGGATGAGGCGTCACTCTTTCATGTTCCTTGTGACAGTTTGCTGAAAACTGGAGATTTGGGTCTAATAGTGGAGTAACTCTGGAACTCAGGGTCTTTTCCTCCCTGATGAATGCAGGTTTTAATTTGTGTTGTTTATGGCTCAGGCTGCCTCTGTGACAAGAGTCAACCTGAGTAAAATGTGAGGCCTTCTCGGGCTCCTTCTGATCCCTCCCACCTCCTTGGGCACATGCGGCAACTTTCTAGTTTCCTCTGGTCATGTCACAGCTTTTTAGTGTATGGCTCTGAAGTGGGAACAGAGAAAAACGAAGTGGGGAATAAAGTTTCATTCCTTAAGTATTCGGGAAGCTGCTTCATCCACAGGGGAAGAGAATTGCAGCCATGGGAGATACAACAATGCCCATGCCAATAGCTTTGCCAAGACAGACACCCTAACATGCATCTTCCTAAGTCCCAGGGAAGTGAAGTTAGATATTAGTTACAAGGGGAAATGGGGGAAAATCACACAATTGTAGTAAATGTAAATATCATGCTCTTAAAACTACCCACAGATTTAAAAAAATACAATGGTATTGTGGAATATTAGTTTGGGATGTGTTACATTCATTTTCGCTGTGGAGTATTTGTTTAAGGATGTAAAGATGTGTTGCATTCTTTTGTGTTACATTTGTTTAACTCTGTAAAGCTGTGTTATTTTGCTTGTCTAAAACACCTGATTGGACTGGGCAGTGGTAGCGCACGCCTTTAATCGCAGCACTCAGGAGGCAGAGGCAGGAGGATCTCTGTGACTTCGAGACCAGCCTGGTCTACAAGAGCTAGATCCAGGACAGGCTTCAAAGCCAAAGAGAAACCCTGTCTCGAACAACCAAAAATGAAAAATAAAAAAATTTGAAACACCTGATTGATCTAATAAAGAGCTGAACAGCCAATAGCTAGGCAGGAGAGGGATAGGCAGGGCTGCCAGGCAGAGAGAATAAGAGAAGACAGAAGAGGGAGGAGTGAAAAAAGGAGGAGAAAGGAACCAGGGACCAGCCACACAGCCAGCTACAGGATAAAGGAATATAGAATATATAAAGGTAAAAGCCCAGAGGCAAAAGATAGAGGGGATAATTTAAGAAAAGCTGGCTGGAAACAAGCCAAGCTAAGGCGGGGCATTCATGAGTAAGAGTAAGTCTCTGTGTGTGATTTACTTGGGAGCTGGGTGGCAGGCACCCAAAGACCAAAGAGGAAAAAAAAATCCAACTACTCAAGGGAAGCAAGAACACACTTAAAATGAAGAAAAACCAATAAAAATTTCTGAAACGTACACAGCAGAAACGACGCTTAAAGGGGAGGCACACGGAAGAGTTTATACCAACGCTGAGAGAGAGCTCACATCAACAGCCCACCTTACGTTTTAAGGAGACGGGAAAGGGACGATAAAGCAAATCCATGACCAGCAGAGCAGAGGAAAAACAATATACATAGTAGGAAAAAAAGTGGAGGAAGTCAGTGAAACCAAATCTGGCTCTTAGAAAACACCAACAAAATTGACAAACATTTTGCTAGATCAACAAAAACTTTTTGGAGAAAATTCAAATTAATTATAGATGAGAGTGGAAGTAGGTAGGCAGTTCTATTCATCTATTTAACATTAAAAACAGCTACAGAGCAGGATTGGGGGTGTGGCTCAGTGGTAGAGCACTTGCTTAGCATGTACAACGTCCTAGGTTTGAGCCCTAGTGTGTACATGTGATTCTCTCTCTCTCTCTCTCTCTCTCTCTCTCTCTCTCTCTCTCTCTCTCTCTCTCTCTCTCTCTGTCTCCTTCATTCCCTCAATGAAACCAACCAGTCAGAAAATGACAGGCAGTGAGGCTATGAAGCAATATGAAGCATTAGCAACGTCTCAAAAAATGATAAACAGAACTGCCAAACCAAACTCTTCATTTCTGGGTATGTCTTCATGCATTCAAAGTATGTATACAGAGATTCAGTCCTGCACTTCCCTCCCCAGGGTCTCACCACAATCCGAATAGTTAAAAAAGAAAAGGACATCTGTCAGGAACACGGGGAAACTGTGACCAGGCAAATCACAATAAACCTACAAATGGCCAGTGATAGGTAATGTTGCACAATTGAGGCAGAGAAAACTCACAGCAAGGCATTGCACACCAAGACAGGCAGATCAGCAGAGACCAGAGGACACAAATTCTGCTCTACTTCTCTCGTGGGTATCTGACAAGTGGATCTAAACACCCCTAGAACTGAGCTCCGTATTCCCTGATCATGTCACCGATTATGTCACTATCTGCCACACGGACTAGGAAGCTACCCCATGTCTAGCTAGTGTTTGTGCTTTGGATCTCCAGTGGGTCTGTCTGCATCCATGGGGATGCTGTCCATAGTATGGTCCATTCCAGTGTTGAGGGCAGAGGCTGGGTTCCCAGGTCTGCTCATGTGCAGCACCCCACAATCCCTGTCTATTTGTGGGGGTTCCCTAGAGTCCTAGACTTTTCATGAATGAGCAAAAGGAGATACAGCAAGGCTGACATTCAAGTGTGGCATTGTGTAAAAGGAAAAACCAAAAAACTGCAGCAACCATCTGCATTCTAGAAATCACGCCATCCTCACATCTTAACCCAGTGCTTTGGGCTGTGAACAGTCTGTCTACACTATGCCCCCAGACACCCCAGACTCCCTGCTAGCTGAGACCGGTAGGCGATTCTAAGTGGGACCTTATTCTGAGGTCAGAGAGCAGAACCATCTCGGGGGGGAGGGGGTGGGGGAGGGGGTGGCTGGTGTCCCTCACCAGGGTTTGTGAAAATTCCCAGTCCCTTTATCCTGGATTGTGAGAGTCTGACCAGAAAGCCCCCAATGCCCACAGTTTCCCAGGCCCTGCTGAGAGGCCCTTCCAAAGCAGAGCTGCCTGGATGTGCTGGCAAATCACTGCTGGACAGGAAGGAACCCACCCTCCAGCAGACAAACTGCCCAAGTGGCAGCAGCCTCGCATGCTTCTTCCAAAGTCTGTGCCTGACACCATTTCATTAGATATAGAATTTCACTGTCCCTAAGACTGGTGCACAGCCCTCAGAATGGACGCTCTGCACCCCCAGACTCAGCCCCTCTGGCCTGGTCTGGGGTACTTGATATCATCCGTTCCCTGGGACTCTAGGTCCAAACCTAGCCCCTGGCCCCATCTCTCCGGAGTCTCTAAGGGACCCCTTTTCCTTTTTTTTTTTTTTTTTTTCTTGCTAAGTGTGTGCTGGCCTCAAAGCCAGAACTATTTAATTGAAAAAAAAACCTAGTAAGTTAATCTGGACCTTAAATATCCCCTTTAGGTACCTGGTCCCTCTATGGCACTGGTTCTATGTCCTCAGGTAAGCATGGGGATAGTAGCCCCTGAACACCCAGGCTTCATGAGGGCTGTTTTGTGTTGCTGTCTCTAGGAGGTGTCTCTATGGTTGTCCTCTGTACTCTGGGTGTGCCCTAGGGAGACCCAGGGGGTAGGATGGAATCGGGAGTGACAGGTATTATTAACTCAGGTCCACTCTCATCTTAGGGTCCCCCAACTCCCACATCTCTACCTAAGCTCAGAGGAAGTTCAGCCAGAGGGTTGGTGTCTCCTTGAGAGCACCTGGCTTGCCCACCCCTAGAGCAGCCTGGAAGTCCATGTGAGGAGCGAATTCAGGTGGCTGGTACTTTCCCCACGAGTAAATACCCTTCTCTGGGGCCTGCAGAGAGGCCAGCAGGACCTGTGTCCAAGTCCAAGTCACACCATGTCTTCCCACTGAGGCAATTTAGGTTCCTTAACCCTTCGCAGATGCCCTCCAGGCCAGAGCTAACTCAGACCTGCTAGAAATGGCCATGGGTCTGACCAGATGCCAGACACTCTGTGGACTGGGGAAGTAGAGGGAGCCTGGGCCATCAGTGGTCAGTAGAAAGCTGTGAGTTCAGACTAAGAGGAAGCCTGCACCCCAACCAGGCTACGTGTACAGACACCTAGGGGCCAGGTGGATACTAGAACCCGGGACTGGACAGTCGGTTTGGGTACAACTGTGACCCCTGAGAACTCCGTCCTTCCTTAGACCCCTGAGGTGCAGCCCCTGAGCCCTGTTCCTCCTCTCCTGGCCAGGCTGGACCCCACAGGGAGCTTACCTGGCTTAGCACTTCCAAGGACAGGCTGTCTGGGCACTTCCGAGGAGAGGCCCGGTCCTGCCGGCCCGAGATGCGGGCGCCGAGTGGGTAGGAGGGAGGGGACCCGGGGGCGGCCCGGGACGGAGCGGGAGGGGACCAAGCCAGAGGCCTCCCACTTTAACCCTGCCCCAGGCGGGCGGAGGCCTAGAAAGCACGACCACCGGGAGGCGCTGCGGCCCCGCGGATGGGCGGGGTCAGCGGGTGGGGATGCCGGAACGTCTAAGGGGGATCTGGAGAAGGAGCTGGGGGAGGGAAGGAAGGGAGATGGAGGTGGAGGAAGCGTCCAGCACACTCTGCTGCAGCGCGGGCGGGGGGGGGGGGCTGGACCCTGTCTGCACTGGAGGGCCTGATGACGTTTGTAACCTAGCAAATATTTGCCCAAGTTCCTTCCCCACTTACCCAAAGGAAGAGACCCCAGGACTGGCACCAGCAGGAGCTACACCCACCCTGGTGGGCCTGGGTTCTCCCCTTCTCTCCCCCCACCCTACCCGAGTATTCTGACTGAAGTTGGGCGGGATGTGGGGTTAAGCTCCTAAGAGCAGTGAAGGCATCCAAACTACTATGTCTTTCGGATCCCCATGGGCACTGGGTTGTTCTCGAGGCCCTTGGGAGTTGAAAGGGCACCTGAAAAGACAAGAGGACAGGTCGTAGGGATAGGAGGGAATGAGAGAGCCCTGAGGAATCCCAAAGGTGGGCTCTGAGTGGGCCCTGCTCACGTTCCTGGCAGGCAGGGTGCACGGGTAGGCTGTGGTTAGGGTCCTGGCTTTCCAGCCTGGAGTAGGTGTGGCTTGAGGAAGTAGAGGCAGGGCTAGGGAAGGGACTTATTCAGAGTCGATCTTGAGGGTGCAGAGTAGTGTGTGTGTGTGGGGGGAGTGAGGCTTGATTCCCATGAGCGCTGAGCAAATCTCGCCTATACTCCCACTCCTGTGTCCCATCGCTCGTCCCAGGAGGAGCTACTTTTGGGAAGCTCACACTGGAGGTGGCTTCCCTATGTCTTCAGAGCCGTCCTCCTTCTGCCCAAGGAAGCTTGGTCATCTCTTCCTATTGAGGTCTCACATCTGAGAAGTTGGCAGAAGGCACCTTTCACAGTGTTCTTGTGCCTAGCAGTTGAGGAACAGTGTCTCTTGTAAGGAAGAGGAAAATGCCACTAAGGTGACCTCTTGAGAGCTGCCCCTACAGGACCCACTAGATACCCAGCCCCTGTCACTTCTCATTTCCTAGAACCTGGAGCCCTGGCTAGACTCTCAGCAGCGCAGTGTTAGTACTTACCCGTTCGCGGGCAGCGCCTGCTATTGCTGGTCTCTGCCCTAGAGGCCTTTTGAGTGGGAAGGGAGTGACTAGAGCCAGAGGTGTGAGCATGGATATGAGTGAGTGTCTTGTGTGTGGCCTTTGCATCTCTCTCTCTCTCTCTCTCTCTCTCTCTCTCTCTCTCTCTCTCTCTCTCTCTCTCTCTCTTCCTCTGTCTGTCTGTCTCTCTCTCTCTCTGTGTGTGTGTGTGTGTGTGCTCCTGAGTTGTGGCACGTGTGCACCTGAGAGTGAGCATCTGTCTGGGTCAGGGTGTGACTGAGTGTGACAGCTGACTGGTGGCCCTAAGCAAGAGGAGGCTCTGGCTTGTGCTCTGGCCATGCCAGACTGCCGCTGATCTGGGCTTCCTTAGCTTTTGTATACTTCCTGCCTTGGCTGTTCTCCAGGGAAAGGATGCTGGCAGATCACGAGATCTGGACCGTTCTAGGGACTAATCCTCTAAGACAATCTAGGAGTGATACTGGCTGGTTTTCCCACTAGCCCCTCACAGGGGTCCATCTCACCCAAGGAACCCCCCCCAATACCTGTGGCTTCTAGCCCCGTGTCTTTCCCAAGCATAGCCAAGCAAATCTCTAGTCACATCTGATCCTTGATTCTCAAGGGACCCCATTAGTATCCAGAAGGTCAGCAGGCACCTGAAAAGGGAGCAGCAAGGTGACCATTCCCTAGCAGAAGAGGACACTGTCTTGATTGGGGGCAGGCAGTCTTCAGCACAAGGCAGAGGGCCAATTGTTGGAGGTTTCACCCTGACGTAGACCAGGGAACACCTCCAAAGGTGGCAGCTTGGGAATTTGAAGGGTGTGGAGGACAATGGGGTCAGATGGCTATTCCTGGGGTACACTGATGGCCTGCAGAGGGAGAACAGGAGACCAAGACACTTAGCCAGCAGGAAAGGGTTCCTTCTGACACCAGAGGGCCTTTTAGGGTCTCTCTAGTAGCTAAAAGGAATTGTACCACAAGATGACAGTGAGGAGCACTTGGGTTTCAGGCACATTTGAGTGACACTTGGGTTTGACATCTGTGGAAGTTGAATATGTGACTTTGTGTACCCCTGGCTCTTGGAGCCTGCAGACAGGGCGGTCCTCGCTCTCTAAGCCAGCCTTCCCACTGAGATGCTGGGTCTTTCCATAGCATGATTGGAGGCTGCCTGATGACTGAGGAGAAAGCCCAGCGTAACCTAGCTGGGCAAGGATTGATGAGAAGAAACAGATTCTGAGTTGGAGGAGTTGGAAGACCTAGCTGGCACACACTCATAGGAGCAGTGAGGGCAGCCCTGGGGATTGGACATTGATGGTCATAATGAGTAGACAGAATGGGTAAGCAGGCTACTGCCTCCTGTTCGTTTGGGTGTTTGAACATTAGGGAAAGGGACAGTTAAGACAGCGTAATGATGGTTAAACTTTGGATCTGAGTAGGCGTGGTTTTCTGATATCACAGGATGACATCAGGATTCCGTTTTGGAGAAAGAATTTGTTCTCCTATGTAATACAAGGAATCCTGGCTAAAAGGGTTGTCACAACAAGTTCCCAATGGGGCAATACATCCCCTGGTTCTCATTCTACCGGCCCCAGAATCATATTCATCTATGGGGTCTTAAGCAGCAGTTGATGTCACACCATAGCAAGGACTCCAGATACCACATTTTTTTTTCTGAGACAGGGTTTCTCTATATTGTTTTGGAGGCTGTCCTGGAACTCGCTGTGTAGATCAGGCTGGCCTCAAACTTAACAGATATCTGCCTACCTCTGCCTCCTGAGCGCTGGGATTAAAGGCGTGTGCCACCAACGCCCGGCTTAGATAACCCCATGAAAGTCTGTTTGTGTTGATGAGGGCTCTGGAGGGATGTACCTTTGGCCTTCACTGCCTATGAAGGGGAAGAGACCCCCTGCTCACACTCCAAAGCCATAGGAGGGCTGGACAGTCTTCCTCCTCCTCGGCTCCATTTCCAGGCTACTCATCATTCTAGCACCTACTGTGGCACCACTGGGCTTCCATGAAACAACCCAGGGCCTTTGGCACTGCAGGTACAGCGCCTTCTGGGTGCCAACCTACGACGGGTCCTGTGAGGTTGGCTACCTGCTCAAGGGTGCCCCTCAGTTAAGTGTCATTCTCAGCCACCAGGGAGAATTCAGATACCAAAACCATGTGACTTTTCCCCCCTGGGGAGATGGTAGGACAGTGAGCAGCACTGATATATGGGGCTGTGGATCCGGTAGACCAAAGAATGGCTGAAACAAGGTGCGCATGCCCTGTGAGGAATAACCAGCTGTATTTGACTGTCCAGCACACTGTCATGGCCTGAAGGAAAAGTAAGCAATTCTATCTCTCCTTCTGCCCCCATGTCCTCAGGCCTAGGGAGGACTGCAGTAGTGTGGAGAGCCCTCTGCAGCTCCCTTATACTTGAGATACCTGTGGGAGTGTTCTAGGTCCAGGGGTGTTGTTTTGGACCTAGAAATGTTGAGTTGACCTAGAATGGTCAGTTGTTTTTTGTGTTTTTGTTTTTATCTCAGATACAGAGTTAACATACCAGGAACCTCCCCAACTCCCAGAGACTCACTTTCTCTAAAGACAAAGCAGGGGGGAAAAATCCACAAAGCCCCCTGCTGTAGGTGCTCACACCAGCTGCTCTATGGTATCACACGATTACTCAGAGCTGGCAGAAGAGTGGCAAGGCTCATGTCTCAAGTTGCTGACACCCCAGTGTCCTCAGGAAGCTCGCCAGGCCTTGAGTTGCTGTACCCTCGTGTTTTCACCTTTTAATTTTACAGCAGCAGGGAGGAGGTCGGTGAGAACCGCATGGTCAGTTGCTTTCATCGGCAGTAGGTCCAGGAGCAGAGGACAGGTTCTCAGGGCCTGGGTGGAGTGAGAATGCCAGGTGACAGGATGACTGGGGGACAAATGCCTCAGGGGGACATCTCAAGAGATCCCAGTCACAGCTGTGGCTAGTTAGGTTGTCTTTAATTTCCTTTGTGTGTGTTGGACACAGCAGTCATTTATCAGAGAGCAAAGCCAGGCTGATGATGGGGTTCCCTGCAAAGCTCTACTCACCTATCTAAATCAGGATGCTGTGTCGTGAAGGGTGGGCAGCAGCGCCCCCTCTCCTCACAGAGGGAAGACCAAGGCTCGCTGAAGAGACCGGGATGGGAAAGCACTTCTGGTCCAGTGGTATTGATTCTTTCTTCCCCCAACCACTCTGAGTACATCTAAACTACGAGGAGCAAGATTACAAAACACTTCAAAATATTTATATTTTGGCAAAAGCTTTCTCTTTACCAGATGTGCTGTGCTGAATGAAGGGGGTCACTTGAATGTCATGTAATTCAGCCCTGTGCTGGCATGTGGAGGCTGTGCCGACTGACCCATGCTGCCTGGCCTGACTGGGATGTAAGAATGTTAGCAGAGGGCTCCTCTGCAGGGCACCAAGTCCCCCAGGTCTGAAGAAAAACTTTGCCTATATGTATTTTTTTTGAGATAGGAATCTATGGATTTAGTTGAATTCTCAAATTCATACTGTGGTGGTTTGAATAAAAATGGCCTGCATAAGACAGACAGGGAGTGGCACTGTTAGGAGGTGTGGCCTTGTTAGAGTAGGTGTGGTCTTGTTTGTTAGAGTAGGTGTGGCTTGTTGGAGGAAGTGTGTCACTTGGGGGTGGGCTTTGAGGTTTCAGAAGCCAGGCCTCGTGGCTCACTGTCTTTTCCTGCTGCCTGCTGATCCGGAAGTAGAATTCTCAGCTACCTCTCCAGCACCATGTCTGCCTGCATCCCACCATGCTTTCTGCCATGATGATGATGGATCAAAACCCCTGGGCTGTA